GCTCTGTCCTCAGCTAAAGTGAATGTTAGCAGCCAGACTGTGGCAGATGAGGCTTGGGGAGGGCCTCGCAGAACCACCAGGTGGGCCAGTCTCCTCTTCACCTTCCTGCAGAGCCCAGGCTTAAAGGAAGAAAAGCAAGTGCTTGGGTCTCTCCTTTTCCCCTTCCAGACACTTCATAGTTGGGGCAGCTGGGAGGAGACCTGATGCTCGTGCCATCTCTTGGCTCACATGTCTTTTCCCTTTTCAGTTTATGAAGAAAAGGTCACCTAGCATGAAGCCCCTCACCCCCACCCCACAGAGGCTACAAAGCTTGGAATTAACACATTTTTGGAAAAAGAAATTTGTTTACATTACAAAAGAAGGGGTTATGTACGGCTATGTTTGACTGCAACTCCTTTCATTTGACAAAGAGTTGGACTTTCCATCATAATAATGTTTTGTTTGTTTGTTTGTTTTGTTTTTTAAAGTCTTCAGGCTCCCAACTGTTTCTAGCCTGAGATTTATGGGGTGACTCAGGTACCAGAACTTGTAACATGATTGAATAAAACTCAGAGACAGATACTGGGTTCAACCTGAAGGTCAGAAAAGCAAAACAGCCAGGCACAGGCTCTTACATCTACCTCAGTCTGAAGTGGCAATCCTGCCTCCAGGAATCCTCAGAATGAGACTGTGTCTGAGAGCCATCTCCTCCCGTTTATATTCCTCTCTAGGACTGGGATTAAAGGGGTGCACCACTACTGCCCAGTTTCTATAGCAAACTAGTGTGGCTACTGGGATTAAAGGTGTGTGCCACCACTGCCTGGTCTGTATGGCTGACCAGTGGGGCTGTTTTACTCTCTGATCTTCAGGCAAGCTTTATTTATTAAAATACAAATGAAATCTCACTATAAGAACTGCTTCCAGCCTAGTGACTTATATGGCAACTGGGAAATAGAAAGAAGGTTCACCCCTCCACCACTATCCATGTACTCAGCAAGAGGAGGCTGACCTGTCTGTCTGGGGTCTAAAGTTTACAGGTAACTCCAATTTACTGTTTATCGTCTGCTAAGGAATGTTTCAGTAATTTAGCATCTTAGTTACTGCTCATTATGTAGGTTTTTTTCTCTCTTTTTACTTGAGTGCTGGGGAATTGGGCTCAGGGCCTCGAGCATGCTATCTACCCACTCTGGCCTTGGTGCTCGTCTTGTAGAAGAGAAACTTAAAGAGCTCAAGGGGCTTGGCCAAGGACATCTAGCTAATGAGTGGAAGAGGTGGTTATGGAACCAAGCAAATGGGTCTGAGGTCAAGCTGCCCAGCTCCCTGCCTGGCTCTTGAATACCTGGTTCTCCAGGCCCTGTCCACAGAGGGCAACAAAAGGGCATTGATTTTCATAAGTATCTTATGGTTTCAGATGTTCACTGAAGACAACCAAACACCCAGAGTCTGATACTGTATATGGCTATCCCAGCTAAGTCTTGACTCAAGGTTGAGCTAAAGTTGTGTTTAAGTGGTTTCATTACAGGAGAGCATTGTGTGTGTGTATGTGTGTGTGAGAGAGAGAGAGACAGAGACGGAGAGGGAGAGATGGGGAGGAGGGGATCCAAGAATTTGTTTTTCTTCTCTTTCTCTGTATCATCTGTGTTTGTAGTACTGGGGTATCAAACACAGGACCTTGTGCATCCTGAGCAAGTGGTCTCCCACTGAGTGACATTCTGGGCTTTGTTCTGGAATACCTTTATTTGAGGTTGACAGAATGGCAGCATATAGTTCCCCAATCTCCTATTTGTCTTTCCTTTCCTTTCTTTTCCTTTCCTTTCCTTTCCTTTCCTTTCCTTTCCTTTCCTCTCCTCTCCTCTCCTCTCCTCTCCTCTCCTCTCCTCTCCTCTCCTCTCCTCCCCTCCCCTCCCCTCCCCTTCTCCTTCCTTCCTTCCTTCCTTCCCTCCTCCCTCCCCCCCCTCCTCCCCCCCCTCCTCCTTCTTCTCTCTCTCTCTCTCTCTCTCTCTCTCTCTCTCTCTCTCTCTCTAGACAGGATCTCAAATATTCCAGTCTGGCCTTGAACTTGCTATATAGTTGAGGATGGCCTTGGCCTACTGATCCTCTTGTCTCTGCTCCTAGGTAAGTGTACGTTAAGGATCACAGGACCTGGCTGAATGTGCTCTTTTCTATTATCAAGGCACCATTCTTTTCTTCATATTCTACTGCAGTTTTTCATCCTTTGGCAAACACAACTGCCTTGACTCTGTGGAGCCAGTCTTCATATCATTCATATTGCTGCCAAGGGGAAGAGAGAGACAACAATACCGACAGTCTCCTCAGTCTGTATGTGCAGATAGGGTGAGCAGGCTAGACCTCAACTTGGCGCCATCCCTGTGCAACACTGTGGGGAATGGAACTGGGAAGGGCTGAGTCCGAGGTATAGACATTAGTGTTGATGAAGGAGTGGAGAGAGACTGGGAAATAACCCAAAGGTAGATGGTGCGACTGGCTTACAACTGACTCTGTACCTGCATTCATATGTGGGGAAGGACCATTGTCCCTAACTGAACAGAACAGAACTTGCTACAGACCTTAGCAGAGCAACTGGGTGGCAACACGAAGGACCGAAATGGGATTACTAACTTTTCCTAAAGAGCAGGCTTTTTTTTTTTGTCTATTGTGATACCTTGAATAACTCTTTTTTAAAGGTTATTTCCCACAATATCCTCAGAGCTGCTTTTAAAACGTTGATCAATTAAATAACCCACTTCTTTTCTGTCTTTTAAGTTATGTGTACTGGTTAGTGCTTCATCAACTTGACATAATATGGGAAGAGGGACTCTCAAATGAGAAAATGGCTCCATAGGATTAGTCTATATAGACAAGTTTGTAATGCCTTTTCTTAGTTATTGGTTGGTGGTAGAGGGCCCAGCCCATTGTGGGTGATGACATTCTTGGGCTGGTGGTCCTGGGTTCTTTAACAAAGCAGGCTGAACAGGCTATGGAGAGCAAGCCAGTAAGCAGCATCCCTCCATGGTCTCTGCATCAGCTCCCTCCTCTAGGTTCCCGCTCTGACCTCCCTAGATGATGGACCGACTCCAAGATATAATGATAAGATATAATAAATCCTTTCTCCCCAACTGACTTCTGGTCATAGTATTTATCACAGTGATAGAAACCTAACTAAGACACTATGCATTTCTAAAAATGTACTTATTTTATGTTATGTGTATGAGCGCTGTGCCTGAGTGTATGCCTGGTGCCTGCAGAGGCCAGAAAAGACATCAGAACTGGGACTGGAGCGTGAGTCTCCGTATGGGTTGGTACTGGGGACCAAATTTGAGTCTTCTGGAAGAGCAGTAAATATTCTGGAGCCTTGAGCTTTGTTTCCAACCCATTTTAAGGAGGTCTCACATATCCTAGACTTGCCCTGAACTTGCTATGTAATGAGAGAGTGACCCTGGACTTCTGATTTTCCTGCCTAAACCATGACTCTTGGTTTAATGCCATGTTGGGTTTCTAGTCCAAGGCCCTTGTGCTGGTCAATATCCTCCCAGCTGAGCTACAACCCCAGCCCTGAACCTTCTACATCTTTTTGTTATTGCTTGTTTGTTTTGTGTCTGTTGTTTTGTAATAGGATCTTATAGCTCTGACCAACTCTCTGTAGACAAGACTGGCCTTGAACTCACAGAGATCCTTCAGTCTCTGCTTCCCAAGTGCTAGGATTAGAGTCGTGTATGCCACCATGCTTGACTGATGTCCTCTATACTTCTGATGACTTCTTATCATCCATAGCTTATGGTGGATACAGGTCAATTAGGTCCACCAGAACCTACTGCCTGGATAAGGCCCCTAATACTTCTCTGGGCCTCTCCCCTCTCCACACACTGCTCTCCAGCCACTCTGGGCTCCAGTGACTCCCCATGATTTCACTGTATGCTTACTCTCTGTCACTAAAACCCTCCATGCCCATTTCAAGTCCCATGTAGCCCTCTGTTGGAAGCCCACCTCACTTTCTCCAGAAGCAGAGCAACTCCCTGCATGGACCAGCTGTAACCCATCGCTCAAACATCTGCTGAATCACTTGGGACTTTCAGATTCGCACATTGGTTTCCGCTTTCCTTGTTCATTAGACTAAAATTCCCTGAGGATAATGACTTTGTTTTGATTCATTCTATGTTGCCTAGGTGTCCAATCTTAACAGAATAGGATTAATGAATAGAAAGTTAGAAAGTAAAAATTTTACTTTTTGTGTTAATTTGAGAATTTCTTATTCATATAATGACCTTGACCTCCTTCCTGAAGAAAGAAGTTTGATGGAGAAGGTGAAAAAATATATATCATGCACTATCTTCTGTTGGGGAATGTTACTTCAACTATGTAAAGATGCATTACATTTGTTGTGTAGGGAAATGTTACTTCAACTATGCAAAGGTGTGTTGCATTTGTTTATGTTGCATTAGTTTAATTAGGCAAAGGTGTTACAACTGTTTATGCTGCATTTCCTTAATCATGTAAATAGGTGATGCATTTATGTTACTTTGCCTGCCTAAGGTACCTGATTGGTCCAATAGAAAAATGAATGACCAATAGCTAGGCAGAGGTAAGGCTGGTAGGGAGAGAGAATAAGTAGGAGGAGGACCTTAGGCTTGAGAGGGAAAGAGAGGGAGATAGATGCCTGGGGTAAGTCAGCCAGGCTGCCACCAGCCAGAAACCAAGGAAGCAATGAAAGTAGAATATACAGAACAAAATAAAGGTAAAAAGCCCCAAAGCAAAACACAGATGAAGAGAAACGGGTTAAAATAAGTAGTAAGAGCGAGTGGGACAAGTTTAAGATAAGGCTGAACATTCATAACTAATAAGTCTCTGGGTCGTGATTTGGGAGCTGGTTGGTGGCCCAACATGGGGTGCCAAATGTATCCGGCTTTCTCTTGGGGCCAGTGTCCCCTACTCCAAGCCCACTCAGGAAAAACAGCAAACAAACAAGCCTACGGAGAGTGATCTACGATTCTGAAACATATAGATTCAGTTTAGAGAAGGCTTACCTTTTAACAGCTGGCAGTTGTATGTGCTCAGGTTCCCAACAGACCGCAAGTTTATCAAATCTCCTTTGGGGCTGCGGCTCTTACTTACGACTTCAAATAACTCATAGGGGGGGATCAAGACTTCCTTCCTGAAAGAGAAGTCTTGCACAGAGGCACCTAGGCACGTAGCAATAGTAAACAGTGTTTGATTTCCAGACACCTGGGTCTCCTCCCTTAGCAGGGAGGCAGAAAGGAACTGGCCAAACCGAATGGTGGCACCGACTTTGACTTCAAACTTCACGTTCTTCATCCCATGGTGCACCTCGTAGCACAGGTCACTGTTCTTCATGGCTCTCTCTTCCCTCAGCAGCTGGATGGCTGAGGTGAGGTAGTAATGCAAATACTTGAAGTGGAATGACTGTCGGTACTGCCCGGGAGACCCCACAGCCTTGGCCATGGCTGTGGTGAAGTCAGAACTCACATTGTGATTCAAGGTGTAGACCAAGATGGCCACAGCATGTACAGTGGTCATGCTCTTGGGGAGGGTGTCCTCTTGGCTCAACCAGGTTAAGTGGGCTTTTTGCCAGGCTCTGGAGTAATACTTATGACTGCCTATTTCCTCCATGAAGTAGTCTCCTTGGCTTAGCTCCTCCATGACCTGTTTGCTACAGCCTTGGTACTGATCATCAAAAGAATCTGGTGTCCAGTCAAGGTCGGCTTTAAGAGCAACCTATAAGAGAAAGAAATCTTGATTTGCCTTATCCAAGTCAGATAGATGGAGATGAGGTGCCCTGCAGTGTTTTACATGGGATGGTCAAGCCATGTCCATTATAATGACCCCCCCCATGCTATTCCTACCTGGGCTGGGATTATCATTATTCTTAAGAGGCACACAAAACTCCAAAGCTCATCTCGCCGGGAAGGAAGTGTTCTGTACCATAGAGCTCGCAGTGTTTCTACATTTTGAATTTGTTGAAGACATAAAGCACTAACTGTGTAGTTTGGTTTTACTTTCCATGTCCTTCAGTGTCTCTTCATAGTTGCTCACGGATGTCACAAAGGATGTTAAGAGCTGGGTGTGGTGGCTCATGTTTATAAAACTAGCACTTGGAAGGCTGAGGTAGGAGAATTGCTATGAGTTGGAGGCCTGCCTGGGTTACAGTGTGGGACCCTGCCTTGATGAAGGATGAGTAAAAACTCAGGGTCAGAAATTGGGGTTCAATTTCTAAAGATCCGAAGAGTAAAATAGCCAGCCACTGGCTCTTACCTCAACCTCAGTCTGAAATGCCAATCCTTCCTCCCAGAATCTCAGAATGAGACTGTGTCTGAGAACTGTTTCTCCACCCCTGCTCCCCCACCCCCATTTTATATTCCTTTCTAGGTTTAGGATTAAAATCATGCACCACTGAGATTAAATTCATGTCATTGTGGCTAAGGGGATTAAACATGTGTGTTACTGTCCTGCGCTACCGTCTTGCCAGCAAGAACGATGCGGGATACTTAGGATCCTTAATGCGTCTTGAGAGAGAGAGCATAAGCTTACAAAGCGGAGACCCAGAAATGAGGGAACCCATCCCTTATATAGGAAACAGTCCTCGCTTCGGACGTGTCACTCTTGGATTGGTCCGCTGCCCATCAACCCAGATGACGCCTCAGGAGTAGGCAGGGATGCAGCAGTGGAAAGTTACCAAGCACATGCGCATTATAGTCCCACTGTCTCTGCTTCCCCAATGCTGGGATTAAAGGCGTGTGCTACAACACCTTGAACTCACAGAGATCTGCCTGTCTCTGCCTCCCAGGCATTGGGACCAAAGGCGTGTACTACCACACCTTGAGGTCACAGAGGTCAATCTCTACCTCTGTCCCTTGAAGCAATGGAGAATGTGGTTGCGGCCCTCCACATGTTGCCATAACCTGGTCTGTAAGGTTGACCAGTGGGGCTGTTTTACTCTCAGATCTTCAGGCAGTCTTTATTTATTAAAATACAATCGAAATGCCACTACACTGCCTCAACCCAACCCAGTCCAAACAAAACAACCTTATATAATATATATATTTAACTATACATCTTACTGTGTAGTGCATGTCCTTGGAGGCCAGAGGTCAATGCCGTGGGTCCTCCCTTATTGCTCTCCACTCTGTGCTTTGAGATAAAGTCTCCCACTCAGCCAGGAGCTCGGCAGTCTAGCTGAGGGGTTGGCCGGTGATCTCTGGAGCTCTGGGGACCTGCCTGTCTCCACACGCCTTTCCCACTGCTGGTCCTGGGGTTACAGATGCCTTCTACCATGCCTGGATTTCATGTGCTTTCTAGGGACCCACACTCAGGTTGCCATGCTTGTGTATCAAGTACTTTAACCTTGAGCCATCTTTCCAGCCGCCCTATCTTAAATGTTTAAACCTTGAGTGATAAGTAGTGTTAGATTCTCCATGGGAGACTCTGGTAAAAAAGCAATCTTCTTGCTTACTTAAATTCTGAAGAAAAAGGAATAAAACAAAAGGCAAACATGGAATCTGAAAAATCCCCCTCCTTCCTTAATAAGGCCACATGGGTGCAGGCAGCTTTGGGTCTGGTGGCAAGTTGGCTTAAGAGTAAATTCCAGACCCGGTCAGACTTGTCTCCGCAGTGGCAGGCAGTTCTGAGGGCTCTCAGATAACATCTTGTCCTGGGGGAAAAGCCCTCATGTCCGAGACGTTAGGTTAACCAAGCCCCAGCATGGAGAGCAGAGCTGACTCCCTGTGTGCAGTTTTTCTTCCAAATCTTCTCAAGAAAGCACTGTTCCCAGGGCAGCCGGGTGAGCAGAGAGTGGGGCAGTGCCTAGGCAAGACTGTCCTCTGAGTAGTGAGGGGACAGCACACTCCTTTGTGGTGGAGGGCACACTTGAGCACTGTGTAGGGAGTGCTGAAATGAAGTCAGAGGCTCCCTGGGTTCCATTGGCTCACCATTGAGAATCTTGCCTGAATTACCTAATTCAAACCTAGGCTTATGTTTCAGCAAAGCAATGATGCTTTTCTCAGGAACAGAATTGTCAAAGGGCAAGATTCTGTCCAAGGTCAGTGCTGTTGGGGGTGGAGCTAGAAAGCACTCACTGTGGTATTTTAAGTGTGAGTTATGATGACATGCTGTCTAGTTGCATATAATCTCGGCCCAGTTTTTAAGACCGATCAAATGATGTTAGCCAGTATATAACATTTGAAAACAAGCTTCCAGTAACCCCAGCCAAGCATCACGTTCTGTCAAATATTACCATGTCACCAGATCTCAGTTACTTCCCCGTATCATTTATCAATAGCTCATTTTCCGTATCTAGATCTTAAGTTAGAATACTCAAAACTTGTGCTGTCCCTACAAAGTTGTTTTGAGTCCAATAGGCTTATTTCACATGATTTGTCCCTTGGAAACAGTATTTTAATACTTAAAAAAAATCAGGAAAATAGTTCTATCCCAGATCATCAATTATAAAAAAAAAAAAAGCAATTGTTTCCCTCAGTCTTCACTGGGATCCTTTGCTCTTGGATTGCGGTGTCTAAGTTTATATCACTGAGGTGGCCACCCGGTGTATGTCCCTCCTAGTGGTGCGTAGGTCCCACAGACCACCGAGAGATCCCCTTTTCCATTGCCCCTACCTCAGTGCTCCCCGCGGGGATCTGCAAGGCACAGAGCCACAGCAGCAGCCACAGCGGTGTGACCTGTTCTCCTGGCAGCCACAGCTTCATCCTCCTGTCCTCCGTACTTGGTAGAAGTGTCCTCTTGGATCTACCGCTCAGTGGGCAGCAGTGTCTCTTTGGGTCGGAAGCGCGTCCTTGCCCTGAAAGCCGCATCAGGAGTGCACTCTAGAGTCCTCCTTTGGCCCTTTCTATCCGGTCTGTGTCTGAGGTTCTGCTCCTGCCGCGGCAGCTGCGACTTTGGTTGAGCATCAACAACCGACAGCTTCCTCCAGCTCCTTTGTAAAGTTGAAGTCTCTGAAAGAGCTAGACACGCACGGCACACAGAGATTGTTGAGCCGAGTCAGTTTCAAACTTTTAGAAGGTAAAGCCCTTCTCCCTATCTAGTCAGCATTCTGGGAAATGCCAAGGGTCTGCTCAGGGTCAGGCGCTGCCTGCAATTCAGCCTTGGCTTTCCCAGAATGGCAGGAAAAAGCATGCTCATTAGTGCTTAGGGCCAAGTCCCATTATCTGGAGCCCCAGGCTTTCATTGTGAGCCATACCAGAGGCACGCGGAGCGCAGCTGGGGAGATGCAATCTTAAGGTGGGCCTGTGTCAGGCTCATCTGGTGCACCAGATAGGCCTGCCCTGCATGGCCCTCCGCAGGCAGCACACACTTTAAACGGTGTATACTTTTGCTGCGTTTCCACAGTGCCTTTGAAGCATGCCCATCTGGAAATGGTGGCTCTTGGGTTCAGAGTTTTGAACATTTATTTCTCCTGAGAACTTTAGGTCCTCCATCCGTGATTCTGTGATTAATCCCAGACACAGGATTCAAGTCAGCACTTCCACCGTTAGACACTTCCTGCTAAACTCTGAATTCCCTTCCACTCTCCTCCTGACCTGTCAGACGCTGCGATCTCACAGATGTTTGCTATTTATGTTTCCTGCCTCTTATCTTACGCTGAAGAGAAACCAAATCCTCTGCTTGGAAATTCTGGTCTCACTTGCTTTGTGCAGCTTTAAAGAATGCCCATCCAAAGTCTCTGAAAACCATGGCAGTTCTTCCTCAACAGAAGCTCGGAATATATCTGGAAGCATAAGAGAGGAAACACAAGTTATTGCTTGGAGAAGTCACTATTTTGATTTAAATTTTGACTTTATACCCCCCAGCCACATGCACACACACACATGGCAGAAATAAACCCACAAAACTTTGTATACCGTTTCTCCGTATTTACTTGTTGTTGTTGTTGTTGTTGTTGTTGTTGTGTGTGTGTACAATTAGAATATCTTTCTCTGTCATTCCCCACCTTAGTTTTTGACCCAGGCTTTCAATGAGCCTGGAGTTCACAGATCTGGGCATACAGGCGGGGGAGCCTCTTGGCTCTGCTTCCCCAGCGCTGGGATTGCCGGCCTTCGCTGTGCCCTTTCTGCTGCCGTTTGTCTTATGAGTTCTAAGGTCCTCACGCTCAGGTCCTCAGGCTTGCAGGGCAAGGGCACTGCCAGCCACACCATCTTTCCAGCCCTATTGATTAATTTTTCCAGAAATCTTTGTTTTTGAGACAAGGTCTCATGTAACCCAGGCTGGCTTTGAACTCACAATGGAATGGAGGATGATTCTCATCTTTTGATCACCTCTCCCTCCTGGGTCTGAGGATAGCAGAAGGAGCCACCATAAACCTGTTTATATTGTACTGGGGAGCAAACCCAGGGCCTTATGCTAGGAAAGCGCTCTACCAACTTAGCTATATCACAGCCATTGCCTTAACATTTTACTGCAAACATGTCCCCTCATAATTTAGTATTTATCAAGGTGTGTGTGTGTGTGTGTGTGTGTGTGTGTGTGTGTGTGCATGCAGCTCGAACTTGCCTTGAATTCTTTTTTTTTTGGGTTTTCCTGAGACATGGTTTCTCTGTGTAGCTTTGGAGCCTGTCCTGGCACTAGCTCTTGTAGACCAGACTGGCCTCGAACTCACGGAGATCTGTCTGCCTCTGTCTCCCGAGTGCTGGGATTAAAGGCATGCGCCACCACCGTCCGGCTTGCCTTGAATTCTTGATCCCCTGCCCTCTGACTCAGGAGTCCTGGGATCACAGGTGTGTACCACAGCTCTAAGCTTAAGATAAAGTCATGTTTATTGTTTTCCACTACTACCTAAGATGTCACAAAATTATTTTGCTGGCTGACAATCAGAAAGCATAGACGGAGACATTAAAACTAGAGAAAATTGGACAAGGGTAAGTATAAAAGAACATATCACTAAGAGGTGAATTTAGCCACTTTCTTAATTGGCTTTTAAAATGACTTTAAATGAGGCATATTTTACTTTATAATTCTTTCTTTCTTTTCCTCTCTTTCTTTCTTACTTTCTTAATTTTTCCTTCCTCCTGTCCTTCTCTCCCCCCCCCCCCCCCCGTGTGTATGTGTGTGTGAGCGGGGAGCAGGGAGAGACTAACTCTGTAGCCTTCGCTCTCTTGGAACACGCCAGGCTGGCCTCAAAGTCGCAGAGATGCACCTGCTTCTGCTTCCCGAGTGCTTTGATGGATGGCATTTGCCACCACAGCCAGCTACTCTGTAAGCTTTAAACTTACCTATTTATATTACAACCATTTCAACTGCCAAGGAATTTTGAGTCGTGCAGTGAAGGCTGAGTGCTTTGTCCCCGTTTCTTCCCGTAGCTCTGCCTCATGAACCATGACACAGTATTAAAGCCAGGAAACAAACGCTGGTAGGCCGTGCGTAGTTCTGAGGCATTTCATCACGTGTGCAGCCTAGAGAAGCCACAGCCTCTATCATGACATCAAACTAGGGGCTGGACAGATGGCTCGGTGGGTAAGAGCGCTTGCCGTGTCCACAGGGGACCTGGGCTTGGTTCCCAGCACCTACATGGCAGTTCACGGTGACCTGTAATTCCAGCGACAGGGGATCCTACACCCTCCTCCAGCCTCCACAGGCAGAAGGCACACACGTGGTGCAGACGTACACATAGGCAAGACACCCATACAAAGCAAACAAACTATGAGAGGATTGTCAAAGGAGCTATCATTCTAAAGCCCTCCCTGATGACCTTGTGATTCCTGGGTCATGCCTTCCCTCCCCGCCCCCCCCCCCCCATCTCTAACTCTAGAAAGCACCACCAGCCTTCCCATCCGTTCAGCTTTGCCACACGAAGGCTATGGATAAATAGATCATACGCGGTGTCATTTTAACATTCCCCCACTTAGCATAGCGTCCTTGATGTTGCTGTGCAGGGTTTATGTGTTGTGGTTGCACAATAACCCTTCACTCTGGTGCTCTCACTGATGGACCATGGAGTGCTCTATCTCAAGAAGACCATGCCTGCTCTGTTGTTCTGTTTAATGCTGCTCATTGCTACTTCCTGAGCATCTGACTTTGGACCAGCTCCTTAACATCTCTGTTGCTCAAATTCCTGGTGGGTTAAATTGGGGGATAAAATGGGTCTTGGGGGACCTCTCCAAAGTATCAACCTAGAGAGTGTTTGAGGAATGAAAACAATTGCTATCACCAGCGCCAGACTTTCCATTGCATCCGTTGAGCTTATGAAAATAATTTTGTGTGATTTCTACTAACTCTTGAATGTGTCTTCAGCGTAAGTCTGGTGTGTGTTTCTCACAGTTTTGAAGACATGATCCAGAGAACTGAGCATTGAGGTGTGAATGTGTATTTCTAGATTTAGTAGCAAGTGCCGACAGTATCTGAAAATAGCCCCTTAAGATGTTTTCGATTCTTAGGATTCCTCACTGTCAGCTGTGTGAGGATTCTGAGGCAGGGAGAACTGCAGTTAGGATCTGACCTTTGGACTGTGGCTTCGGAGCCTCTCAGAGCACTGGCTGAACCAGCTTTAAAGTGAGTGATCCGTGCTGGGCCTCAGCTTCCCGGAGACGTGGGAAGTTTAATAAGGGAGTCATAGTCCTACTTTATTCTTTATTGAGAGGGTGCTGTGTTTTGTGTCTCTTTTGATTATGATTTTTTTTTTGAGACAGGGTTTCTCTGTGTAACAGCCTTACCTGTCCTGAAACTAGCTCTTGTAGACCAGGCTGACCTCGAACTCATAGAGATCTGGCTGCCTCTGTCTCCCAAGTGCTGGGATTAAAGGCATGTGCACCACCACTGCACGGATTGTTTATAATTTTGTTTGTTTTCTCTGTCTACAAGAGAGCCTTAAGAAGAGATTTTAAGAAATACTTATTTATTTAAATTTTAATATTTTGTTTATTGTTATTTATAAATATTTTACCATCCTGTATGTCTGTTTGCTATGTGTGCGCCTGATCCCTGTGGCGGTCAGAAGAGGGCATCAGATTCTCTGGGACAGGAGTTGCAGGCATATGTGAGTCGCTGTGTGGGTGTGGGGAAACGAACTCAGTTTCCCTGCAAGAGCAGCCAGCGCTGTTAACCACAGAGCCATCTCTCTAGCTTCCAATTTATTTATTTAAATTTATTTATTTATTTACGCACACCATGTGTGCGGGTGGCCCTGGAGGTTAGCAGGTGGCATAGGGTCCCCTGGAACTTGGCTTAGGTATGGGCAGCCGTGATGGGGGTACTGGATCCTGGACACGGGTCCTCTGCAAGAGGGTAAGTGCTCTTTACTTCTGAGCTACCTCTCCAGGCCTAGAAAGGGTTTCATAACTGTCTCTCTGCAGAGGTGGCTGCTGAGGTGAGCTTTGGGAAGTTGAACGCCTTACTTACTTTTTTCTTCTTCACAGTTCGCTGTATCCCTAAAGTCTAAATGACTGTGTCATTTAAAAATTATTGTCTGGGAAGTTTTTTGTTAATGTTCTTTCTGTGCACGCCAGTTCCAGAGTATGACCACTAGAGGGCAGCAGAAACCTTGACACCATTTTAATGGGCCTGTGTGGTGTGTGTGTGTGTGTGTGTGTGTGTGTGTGTGTGTGTGTGTGTGTG